TGTGAATAAAACTGCTATGAACATTATTGTAAAAGTCTTTTCCTGGACATACACTTTCATTTCTCTTAGGCAAATACTTAGGAGTGGAATTGTTGGGTAAGAGGGTAAATGTACATTTAATGTTATAGGAAATTGCATAACAGTTCTCCAAAGTGGTTTTATGATTTTATACTCCCATTAACAAGGTACAAATGTTCTGGTTGCTCCACAAACTCATCAAAATTTGGTGTCATCAGTGTTCTTGATTTTTGTTTTTCTGGTGGGTTTGAAATGACATCTCATTGTGTATTAATTTCCATTTCCTTGATGATTAATGATACTGAATGCTTTTTTATGTGCTTATTGGTCATTCGTGTATCTTCTTTTGTGAAGTATCAACTCAAGAGTTTTGCCCATGTAAAATATTGGGTTCTTTATCTTTTAATTATTGGTTTATTGGAGATTTTTATATACTCATGATACAAATTCTCTGTCAGATACATGTATTGCAAATATTTTTTTCCAGTCTGTGGCTCACTTTTCCATTTTATTAATGGAGGCTTTTGATGAATGAAAGTTTTTAACTTTGATGAAGTACAATTTATTGTGGTTTTTTTCTTTTATGGTTCATGTCTTCTGTTTCCTCTTAAAGAACTCTCTGCTTATTCCAAAGTCGTGAAGATATTCTCATATGTTTTCTTCTAGAAATTTCATATTTTAGCTTTTTTTTTTTAAGATTTTATTCATTTATTTGTCAGAGAGAGAGAGCACAAGAAGGGGACCAAGGGAGAGGGAGAAGCAGGCTTCCTGCTGAGCGGGGAGCTCAATGCAGGACTTGATCCCAGGACCCTGGGATCATGACCTGAGCCGAAGGCAGATGCTTAACTGACTGAACCACCCAGGTGTCCCTCATGTTTTAGCTTTTATGTTAGGTCTGTAATCCATATTGAATTATTTTTGTGTATGTGATATGAGGTGAGGGTCAGGATTCATTTTTTTCCCAAAGGTTTATCAAATTGTTCTAGTACCAGTTGTTGAAAAGACTTTCTTTTCTCTCATTGAATTACATTGGTATCTTTATCAAAAATCAATTTACAATATATGTATGGATCTATTTCGACACTCTCTTTTTTGTTCCACTGATCTATTTACTTATGATTATACTAATACCACACTGTCTTAATTACTATAGCTTTACAGTTGGTCTTGAAATCAGATAGTATGTCTACTCTGGCTTTATTCTTCTTTTTCCAAGTGTGTTTCAGTTATTCTCACTCCTTTGCATTTTCATATAGATTTTTAAATAAACTTGTCATTCTCTATAAAAAAGCACAAATAATATTTTGATAATATTGAATCTTACAACCCATGATATATGTCACCATTTATTTAAATCTTCCTTTATTTCTCTCATCAATAGTTTTAGTTTTTAGGGTAGCGGTCTTACAAATCTTTTGTTAAATTTTTCCAAAATATTTTATATTTTTTGATGGTATTTGCTAGGGTTTCTAAGACAGACTTTGTTACAACAATCAAAGGCACCTAAAACCTAAAGCTCATTTTTAAAAATACTTTGAAGTTTCTAGTTAGATACTATGGGATTGGGGCACATAAAAGGTTAATGTAAAAGCAAATACAAAGATGATGCCAAAGAGATGTTGTAAGCAGCATGTGTACAGGTGTCAGTTCACTGTACATACAGTAAGAGGAGATGGTAACTGGAAAAGGGCACTGCAGAGGTTCTGGGGTACTGGCAATATTATACTTCTCAATCTGGGTTACTAGGTGTGCTCAATGGGAGGCAATTCAACAAAAAGTATTTTTTATCTTCCCCAGTTTGTTTGGATTTTATAATCCAATTGAAAAAGTGAATTACAATAATGTTTTAGGGGCGCCTGGGTGGCTCAGTCTGTTTAGCGTCTGCCCTGGGCTCAGGTCATGATCTCAGGGTCCTGGGATCCAGCCCTGAGTCCTTCTGTCTGTCCGGCTCCCTGCTCATCGGGGAGCCTGCTTCTCCCTCAGCCCCTACCCCCTGCTCATGCTCACTCGCATGCTCTCTCTCTCAAATAAATAAATCACATAAATAAATAAATAAATAAATAAACTAAAATAATTATTTAAAAATCTAAGGAACTAATTCATGCAGTCTGTGGCTGCCTCAGATTCATGAGAGGGCAATTTATGTGAGTGATGGGTATCACCAGGCTTTTATCCTCCTCATAGTATGCTGAACTGAACTGCAATTCCTTGCAGAGGATGATAATATTTTATGTAACATTGAAACACAGCCAAGGAAATGCTGGTGCAAAGATTCTGAGGCTGGAATGCCTAAGAAGGAAAAAAGAAGGTGGGGAAATCTAAAGGAAAAGGAAAGTGGATGAGGTGGAGGGAGATAGAAAGATAAAGAGAGAATGTGAGAGGACAACTGATATGAAGCCTTGTTCCCTGCCAGAATCAACAGAAAAAATACCGAGTATTTATTCTTTCTTCACTTTAGCCCCAGAAGTAAAATAGCGTGAAGTGACTTTACGACCTTATATACTTACAAGGTTATACAATTGTAAAACATTAGTATTAGCACGCACAGGCATACCCTGGAACACTTATTCTAAACCTGAATCTATTGGAGTCATAGTCAATTGCTACTTTCTTTATGGTTCCATATAATTTTGTTCAACCCTCAAGAATTATCACTCCTCATACTGTATTGACTTCACTTGATTGTCTCCCTCACTTTATTGTCATCTCCTAGAAGAAAGGTCATTGTTTTATTCATCTCCAAATTGCCAAGGCATAGCATATGCTTGAACCTCCGAGTAATTGCTCTATATATTTGTTGCATTAGATAAATGGATTAGCAGATATTTGTTGCATTAGATGAATGGATTTTAGGATGATTATGCACACGGAATTCTCAATGATTTGGGCACATAAAATCTTCTATAAAATATAAATGCTTCCGTTAAAAAAACTTTCAAGTGTTTAACACTAACTTATTATTTCATTTGATCATTAAAATCAATTTCTTTTTTAAAAATTTTATTTATTTATTTGAGATAGAGTGAAAGAGAGAGAGAGAGCACAATGGGGGGGCAGAGAAAGAGGGAGAAGCAGACTCCCAACTGAGCAGGGAGCTTAATGTGGGGCTGGATCCTCGGACCGGAGCTGAAGACAGATGCTTAACTAACTGAATGAGCCACCCAGGCGCCCCTAAAATCAATTTCTTAATGTGAATTTATTAGTTCATCTAAGCACGATAACAGCCCTGCATGGCACATAAAGGCAATAATCATTAAAACACCCATTTACAAATGAAGAGGCTAAGTTTATAACATATAAAAAGAACTTGTTAGCAACCTCACAGGTAGTAGGTATGAGAGCGAGATCTGGAACCTAGACTTCTGATTTTTCATTCAGGTAATTTCCTCTAAACAACTGTATGGCATTTGGTAACAAAAAGTTGCCCTGCAAATTAACCCAGAGAGTTTTAACTCCCAAGCTGTTTTCCCTCAGCTATAACTTGGTTTCTTGACCACCTTCTTTGGTCACCCATTCTGTTACTTCTATTCCCTATCTCCTTCCCCTGCTCCCATTTTCAGTTCCTGAGATCACAGGAAAGAAAGACTATACCATATTGGCATAGCATTATGTCTATCTGTAGATTCATTTCAGCATTCCTTATTCCCTATGGATGTATGGTTCTTGAATTATCTTCTTTGTGCCAGTTGAAACTGGTTCTTACTGTAATCTTACTGATCCCCTCATTAACCCATGGGTCCAACACAATCTTTGGCATGTATTCATTATATATTTGTAGAAGAATCATGGTTTTACCTTTTCTGAAAATTATTCTTAAATAATGGACATTTTCTCAATAATGTATGAATAAAACCTCCTTCAGGAAACGATGCCATTTTTCCTGATCTGCAACTTAGAGTCTAAGAAAAGATTGTGCTCTCTCTGCAAATGCTGTTTCATGACCTAATTGACAAGTTTAAGGACGCACCTTTCCGTGCAGCAGTGGAGGAAACAATGTGAAGGACAAGGTATACACAGTGAACAGAGCTGAAAAACTTCCAATTTTCATTTCTGCCCAAGAGAATCAGAGCATAGAAAGAGTAATCTCAATCCTTAGATATAACAATAGATATGAAGTCTCTCTCCCATCCCCTTCCCTTCTCCCCCAACAACTCCCCCACCAAGGCATTGAAATTAGGAGAGTCATATTCCTATCCATTAGCAATTCTGTACTCTGATATTTGAACCACAGCAGGTGAGAAGAGAAAGCTGGGGAAAGAACCAAATTTTCACCCTGTTCTCAACACATTAAAATAAAGATATCGTTCTGAACCCTGCAAGCATCATTGTTGTCGTCATCACCATCCTAATTCATAATCATTCACAAAACTTGTTACAAACCTTCAGTTTTCAGCCTGCTGTGTAGAATGATGGGCTTTGGAGCAGGTCGTCAAGGGATCTGACCTCTCTTTCCAGTTCTGTCTCTGGCTTATTATGTAATCTTTGGAGCTTTGATTTTTCATCTGTAAAAACGAGGTCATAGCTATTGAGCGAATTAAATAAGGTCAATCAAATAAAATAACATATACAAAAGCTCTGTGCAAACTAATAGCTCTATAAAAGTTAGTTTCAGTTGCTTGACCTTTCTCTGTTTCCTTATCTCTAATGGGAACAATAATGGTATCTACCTCAGGGAATTCTTTTGAACTCTAATAAACCTAAGAACATTTCCTGACATAAGTGCTTAATAAATGTTAGCTATTGATATTATTAATGTAAGCCCCACAAGGGGACGTGTCGGATTTTAAACATCTTTTCCTCTTCCACAGAGCATAGCACCGAGCACCAGCAGGCTACATCTTTTCAAGATGATTTGCGAACGGAAGAATCTTCTGACCCCAGAATACACCACCCGCGGGCGTTTGCGTGTAGGACTGCGATAGACCGGAACCCAAAAGCTGGGGATGTTGAGGAGCCGGAGCCTCTTTGCGCTTGGACGCTGGCCCCGGAAGTGGCGAGGGCGGCGTCAACGCTGTCAAGAGAAATCCTCCGCCTTGCGAAGATGCTGCTGGACCTGTCGGAGGAGCATAAGGAGCACCTGGCCTTTTTGCCGCAAGTGGACAGCACGGGTCGGGGGCGCGGCAGCAGAGGGTGGTGTCCTGTGGCTTGGGGGATCAAGGGGTACGCCCAGCGCTCATGGTCTCCTGGCTTCCCTTGCAGTGGTCGCGGAGTTTGGGCGGATTGCGGTGGAGTTCCTGAGGCGAGGCTCTAACCCCAAGATCTACGAAGGCGCAGCCAGTAAGACGGGGAGAGTTGCTGCACGGGGAAGTGCGGGCCATTCTTTGGCACCCTGGAGAGGAAGGGCTTTTTGCAGCTCCAAGGGTCTCACTCTCATTGTGGTAGAATAAAAGCAGAAAGGCTCTTCTGGACGCAAATCCTGCCTGCCCCCTGAATAGTTTTGCGATTTTTAAAGCTTCCACTGAGTCGGTTTTGTCACGCGTAAAAAGCACATAATACCATCTGCCAGAGATACTATGATGCTTAAATGCACCCGTGTGTGTGGAGTGGCTGGGTGAGGCATTAATATCCTGCAAGTGTTTGGTTACAATTAGTTGTTCAGACATCCGCTTTTGCTGCAGTATTGTTTTTTCTCTGCTGGACAGGGGTGGTTTCTGAGCTTGTCAGTCCTTGGAGTTCCTCTTATGCCAGACTTGCAACAGCTGAGCATTGAAGAGAAGGACTGTACTGATATTAGACTCCATGGGTCTGCATTTTGTAAAGAAGGTTACACAGCGGGAAATACTGGAGGCAGCTGCCTGGCAGTGGAAAATGAACAGGAGACGATTACCAACTCATTATTTTTCATTACAGTGCCTGAAAATAGGAATAATGGATAATATTTATGCCTAAATAAGAATTTGAATAAAAGGATAAATATCACACAATAATTTATTGGCTTATTTTTCCATTTTCCCAGGAAAACTCAGTGTGAGCAGTGACACTGTCCAGCATGGTGTGGAAGGATTAACATACCTCCTCACTGAAAGCTCAAAGCTTATGGTAAGGGCTTCTGTGGACTGTTTTGTATTTCTTTGACCTTAAAAAGGTCCAGTATACTCTACATCATAGCCCTGGCAGGCACCTGCTTGTTTCAGTAATGTTGTTAATGGTTTATAATTGACTTAGTGAAGCCATGCATAAACAATATGACTATAGTGTGATCTCCTGGCATGAATGCCTCTTCTAGTATAAATTAGAATTACTTCTAATTCTACATATTATTAAACCCTATACAATAGTATGTATCCTAGGAGGAGGGAGAATTAAATGACTTTTTTTTTTTTTTTGCATATTAGCAATATCTAGCTTGATGGAGAATAGGAGAGAAACTGTCCATTTTAACAATTCTTTTTATGTTTTTTTAAAGATTTTGTTTATTAGAGAATGAGAGAGAGACAGCACGAGAGGGGGAGGGTCAGAGGGAGAAGCAGACTCCCTGCTCAGCAGGAAGCCCAATGTGGGACTCGATCCCAGGACTTCAGGATCATGACCTGAACCAAAGGCAGTCACTTAACCAACTGAGCCACCCAGGCACTCAACAGTTCTTTTTATGTTTTAATAAAAGTATTTTTATGTATCAGAGACTCAGATTTTGAAATAGTGGGCAGGAGTTACTTTTAAATATAAAGAATGTTATTTCTTTTACCAGGCAGAAAAGAATTAGGGATAGCGTATTCTTTTCAAATATTTTAGCATTTACTAGACAAAGAAATTTAATGTTCTGTTAAACTTGATTCACTTTCAGATTTCTGAACTGGATTTCCAAGACTCTGTTTTTGTTCTGGGATTCTCTGAAGAACTGAACAAATTATTGCTTCAGCTTTATCTGGACAACAGAAAAGAGATCAGAACTATTCTGAGTGAACTGGCACCAGACCTTCCAAGTTACCACAGCCTTGAATGGCGACTAGATGTACAGGTATGGCTTTTTTTTCCCCACCTGACATAGAATATAAGATTAATTTTAGTTCCATGCTCTTAAGCTTATTTTATTCTTTACCACCTTAACCAAACTTTGGTTTGAAACTAATTTTTTTAATGTTTATTTTGAGACTGTTTCACAAATAGTTCATTTTCTTATATGCTTAATGTGTTTAGATTAGCTTAATTTGCAAAGTTTGTAAGAAATAGGTGATTTTGGAAAGGAGACGGGCATGCAGATTTTTAAAGTTGTATTTGATTTTATGAAACTTTTATGTTTAAACAAAACACACATATATTAAAGTGCACAGGGCATTGTAAAGCTCAGTGGATTATCACATGGTGAAAACATCCATGGAACCAACACTTGCCCATGACAGGCACCCCAAAAAGCATCCTCTTTGCCTCCTACCAATTACTTCCCCTTCCTGCCTTTGCAAAGGTAACCAGTGTCCTGACTTCAGATACATAGATTGCTTTTGCCTGTTCTTTAACTTTCTATATATGGAATGATTCAGTAAATATTCTTTTGTGTCTGGCTTCTTTTACACATCCTGTTTATTTAGTTGTTTTAAAGCCACACAGATAACCGAAAGGGAGTTCTCAGACTCTTGGATGTAGCCCTTTATCAAGCAGTGACAGATAAGTTAATAGATGTTTATTGAATGTCATCCATTTGCTGATTAGAACTGTGCTAAATGCTTTAAAGAAGCATAGAACATTTTCTCAGATGGAAAAGATGTTATCATCTAGTTAGGGATATTAGATGTTCTCAAAATAACTAGTACTTAAAGATAGTTGTAAAATAGATTTCTGGAGGGGGGGAAATATAATTGTATAAATGAAGGTACAACTGAGTATTATATTTCAAAAACCTATAGCTTAGGTAGTTCAGTGTATGCTTGCACAGTCCAGAAAAGTTTCAACAAAAGGAGGTGAAATATCAGAAGGATGAGTGGAGAAAACCAATGTTAATATTCTTGGAAGAGGAAGCAGCGTAAGTTGTAAAAGCCCACATGGATGTGGGAATGAGAGTTGAATATGTGGTATAGCGCACTAGTCCTCAAACTTGACTGCATATTGAAATGGCTGGGTAGTTTTAAAATATTTTCATGTCTGTGTTCTACCCCCAGAGATTCTGATTTATTGTTATGGGGTTTGACCTGGCCATCAGGATTTTTTAAACATTGTTACCCAGGTAATTCTACCTTGCAGTTTATAAACCACTGTTACAGTGGATTCTTACTGATTTGAATGGTGATAAGATGATCCAAACAGGTTACAGAAATTCAGTTAGAGGGTTTAGCAAGTATAATCCAATGTGATGAGTGCTTGAATAGGTACAAACACAGATATGGTATAAACCAGATTATAGGCTTCATGAGGGCAGTCACTATGTCTTGTTCACTGCTCTGTCCCCAGCACAATGCCTGGTACATAATAGGCATTCAGTGCTGAATATTTAAAAGCTTCGTGTACAGTTATAATGTGCTAGGTGATGTGGATTCACAAAGAACCAGACACAGTTCATGCTCTTGGAGACACCGTAAGAAGCAAATCCTGTGGGGTTCCCGGGAAGGAGATCACTATTGCTAAGCTTTTATGTTTCAGTCCTCATAATAACCAGGTAGAGGAGGTGTGGGATGGTCATGCTCATGACATTCAGCAGTAATTTATCTTGTACATCTTTCGAATGGGGATAATTTCTGAATTTGGGGTCTGGTAGCCATTAGAAGTTATTTTTTTGGCTTTGTGATTTGCTTTGAGTTTTTCCATTATGAATACATTTTTAGAAATTAGAAACTTAAGCAGTCGCATTTTCTAAAACTCAGGAGAGCTCATTTACCCAGTGAAATGGGTTTGAATAGCCGTGTTATTGCAAGGACTAATAGATTTTAAAGTTGAGGGTATACTGAATGAATGTTGCTTCATATGGTGAAATGCATCTATGGCTAAAAAGCTACTTAAAGAACTAACTGATTTTCTGAGCTCATTAGTCTTAATTATTACAAGGGATTTTAACTGGAGTAGATTCTTCTGTTTATGGGAGGAAGACTTTTCAGATGAAGATCAGCTAAATGGCTGGGAAACTAATAATAGGATATAGGACCTTTCATTTTTGAGTAATTGATTTGTCTCATGAACACTGGTAGTGAATGGACAGTTACCATCTAATTGTACAGTTGCTTATGAGAAATACATTAATCATCATAGTTTAGTTTCTAATAGAAACATTTCCCTTCATAAATTGCCACCACAGTTAATGCATTTGATAGCAGCAGTAAATTGAATGCATCTGAGATTGGTGTGGGAAGATTTACCTTTAGGACTGGTCCATTTAAATTGCTGTTATTTTTACAAGAAGGACAGAATTCCCTCCCTATTAAAAAATAAGTCCATATCAAGAACCTTGTGGCCTACTGTTCTTTATCCTGTATTGTCCTCGAAATTTCTTGCCGAGAAAAAATTAGGTCTGATTATGTCTTACTAGGTGTTTGTTAGGGATGTTATGTAATCTTTATTTAGAAATTTTAAAGAGTGGTACAGATACTTATTTGTAAAGGATATTAATTTAGGTGTTATGTTGTCTAAAAATTTAAGGATAGATTGAGTGACCCTAAGTCTTTATTATATGTGCTGCCAAAGTGAGCACTGACCTTAAGTCTCTAAACAAAAAGTTGATGGCTTGATTACACACCTGGATACATTTGGTCCCTATCCGTCAATGCAGATATATAGAAAAAAAAAGAAGTATAAACAATGCATAAGTGAATCAGTAGGTGGTATTTTCAGTCATCATACTTAATAGTTTATCTATCTTTCATACCTATAATTTTCTGTACTAGAGAAATGATCTTAAAGAGATACTTTAACTTAAAAGTACCTGTATTCTGTTTGGGAACTGGCTCACTCAAGGGGATTGACTTGTTTCCAGATTATTTTTCGACATTAAATTTCAGCCATGGGTCAGTATATTAGGTTCTTTTGGAAGCCAGATCACCTAGAATTAATTGGAAGAAGTTATTAGTCAGAATATTCTGTGTTGTGGTGTGAAATTAATCCTGAAATCTCAGGTTTAGATTTGTTACTGGAAGTCTCTTCAGTTTGGCTTCTTGTCCTTTTGCCATGACTCCAATAGTTTTAGGTAACAGTCTTGCTTTCTTGTATAACAAGATGTTTCAGGTTCATCTTGTACAATTGTTGTCCCAGACTTCTAATCACTTATTCCTTTAAGAAGGTCCTGGTTCCTTTTAAGAAAGAATAGTCTTTAGAGAACAGTCTTGTGCTAGGACAGTTAGCCACTGTTTCTAGTATTTGGATTTTTTTTCTTTTAAAAATATGTCAATTGTACTTTTTAAAAAAAATTCAGAATATATCATTCTGATATATTCTATATCAGAATATCATTCTGATATATTCTATATCAGAATATATATATCAAGATTATAGATACTCAGTTTAAAGAATAATAATAAAACAAATACCCACTGCCAAGCTTAAGAAACACAACAAAACCATGTATGACCTCCCCCAGTTACAACCGCTCCCACTCCTCTGGAGGTAAACATTATCCTGAATTTTCTGTTAATCCTTTCTTTATAGTTCTTTTTTTACACGTTTTTTCATTTAACTTTAGTTTTTATGTATTACTCTGCAACTTGATTTTTTATTTTTTTAGATTTCTCCATAACAATTTATATTGCTGCAGTTCATTTCTTTTCATTGCCATTTAGTAAGCATTTTATTGTATGAGCATTCTCAGTGTATCCATTCTATTATTAAAGAATATTTGAGACATTTCTAATTTTTGACTCTTGGAAACAAAAACAATTACTATTATGAATGTAGTGTATGCATGTAAAAATGCAAGGTATATACCTAGGAGTGGAATTGATGGTAATGTCTATTTCCTGAAGCCATTCTCTTTTCACTCTCACCAGCAGTGGGAGAGTTCCCATGACTGTTGCTCCCAGTGCCTTCATTTGGACAGGTTTTTAATTCTTGCTGGTCTGATATGTATAAAACAAAACTTTATGGTTTTGTTGGCCATTTTCCTGATTTCTGATAAAGTTGAACATGTTTTCCTATGTTTATCTATTTGGGTTATTTCCTTTGTGAAGTACTTACTTAGGTCTAGTGCACATTTTTCTCTTGGTCTTGTAGGGTTTTTTTTTTTGTTTTTAATCAGAACCATTTTTCATACATTCTGAATACTAATCTTTTTTTTAGCTGTATGTGTTACAAACTATCTTCTCTAAGTTTGTGGTTTGTTTTCCCACCATCTTTAGGTATCCTTTAGAAGAAAATGTAACAATTTGCAGTTCAGTTTACTGGTTTTTTTCCTTTATGGTTTTATGTCTTTTATATCATGTTTAAGAAATCCTGTATGGCAAGGTTGTGTATATATTCTTTTTTCTTTCCAAAATTTTTTAAAATTTATTTTTCAGGGATGCCTGGGTGGCTCAGTCGGTTAAGCGGCTGCCTTTGGCCCAGGTCATGATCCCAGGATTCTGGGATCGAGTCCCACATCAGGCTCCTTGCCCAGCAGGGAACCTGCTTCTCCCTCTCTCTCCCTCTGCTTGTGCTCTCTCTGTCAAATAAATAAAATCTTTAAAAAAAAATTATTTTTCATTTTGAAGTCTATGATTCATGTAAAACTTGATTTTTGTATATGATATAAGGTAATTATAAATACTGTGTGTTCAGCATGATTGTTAAATAGTTATTATGCTCTTATTCCATTTAAAATGAAGCTTGCAAGCAGAAGCCTCAGGCAACAGATTAAACCATCAGTGACTATAAAGCTACACCTTAATCAGAACGGAGATCACAACACCCAAGTTCTGCAGACAGACCCAGCCACTCTGCTCCATTTGGTTCAGCAATTGGAACAAGCATTGGAGGAGATGAAAACAAACCACTGTAGGAGAGTTGTGCGCAATATCAAGTAGTTCCAGTTTTAAGGATTTATTCCCTTTGAATCACTTGTGAATTGATGCTAACAGTTACTTTTCAAAATTTTTTATTAATTGACAGTGATAAATACATATCGTTTAACCCATGCAATTTCTTTTCCTATGACAAGATATTGAAGTCATGATCAAAAGCTAAAGTAAAGTTTCTTTCCTGGTGCTAAATGTGGTCAGTTTCTTGACAAATTAAGATGTATTTTATATTTTAAATGTGTAAGTAGAATTGAATCAACTGGAAGTGAATCTATACTGTTCATATCTTTTGTGTATATGAGTGTCTTTTTTTGGTACTTCTTTTGATTGCTTAACTTTATTATTTTCTTCTTTATTGGCCAAAATTTGAAAATAAAATTCACAGTGTAATACCATTGCTATTCAGAATATTTTTAGACAGTTCATTGTTTTTGACCTTTAAAAGCACCCACAATGTTAATGGCCACAGAATAGCTGGAAGTAAATATTAATTTTTTTAAATGCTGCATTGTTTAGGCAGTTCATGCATTTTTCCTTGCTAGTGAAGGTAATAATACCATGTTGCTTAAGTTTGAGTTGTCATGGATAATTGCTTACATAGTACTCAAATCTGTGTGATAATGTTGCATTTTATCAAGGACTACTTTTTTCCCCTAGTACCCAAAGTATCTAAAAGATGCTGTCATTTACATTTATATACAATGGATGCAGGAGTAATATAATCACTTCTTAATTATCTGAATATAAATTACAGTCCCTTTTTATAATTTTATTTGGATAAAGTATAAAGAGGGCAAAGGGAGGCCATGGTTACTATATGTAAGTATCCCTACTTTACAAACTTGATTTGTTTGTTTGTTTTTTAGTAAGTAACTATAAGCTGTTAGCTTGAAAAACTCAGATGCTGATGTGTCACGTCAGCCCGATAGAGTACAAGGACACAGGGAGACTTAGGGGGACAAGGAGACTTGAGTGGCAGACTTAAGGAGAAAAATCATGGAAGGGTGGAAATGGGGTTTCAGTCTTAACTATGTATCCAGGGTCTTATTCTGAGAGCCTCATCCCCATGGAGCAACTCAGGAATGCCTTTAGAACCATCAAACTCTTAAGGTGCACTCTAGGTTCTGTCAGTACCTTCCATCCTAAGAATTAGAGATTTTTGGGTCAGAGTGACATCGTGTTTCTTCTCTCTTAAGTGAGAGCCTAGCAGGGAACAGAGGCCAGTGGAAGGAAAGCACAAGTTTAATTGCCATTCATTTAATTGCCACTGCAAGCAATTGGGCCACCCTTTCCCAGAGGCGTATGTTCTATAGTGGCAAAATAACTAATATTACATATTAATTGAACTCTAATCAAATAAATTTTAATTATAATAACTTGATTAATGAAGCTGTCATGTTAACCTTACAAACAAAAAGAAACTTTATATATTACATGAAATTACACACATACACACATATATATTATGTGTCATCAGGTTTAAAAGCAATATACCTGCCAAGCTTATATGATAAAAACAGCTCTATGAGGCTTCTTATTTATCCACATTTGGTGGAAAATAAACAGGGCTGACCCCAGCCAAGATTGAAATGAGAGCACTGTGTTGCCTTCAAGGCAACCTTTCTTCTATATCCACCGGTCTTTCCCTAATCAAAACAAGAAAGCGGCTGTTAGTCTTTATTTGTGTCAAACTCCCCTGGCCTCCTTTCTCTACTCCATTATTCTTTCTGGTGGTCTGCCTTCTTCACCTTTTTGGGCCAGAATGAGTTGGGAGCAGTCTCCTACTACTTTTTTGTTTGTTTGTTTTGTTTTAAGATTGTATTTATTTATTTGACACAGGGAGAGAGCAAGCACAAGCAGGGGGAGCAGTAGGCTCCTGGCTGAGCAGGGAGCCTGACGTGGGGCTTGATCCCAGGACCCTGGGATCATAACCTGAGCCGAAGGCAGCCGCTTAACTGACTGAGCCACCCAGGCGCCCCTCCTAACTTCTTTTTGAACCTGAGGCTCATTTTTTAGTACAAGGCATTGAATGAGCCTCTTTCTTTTCTTGTTTAAACATTCCTTATCCTTAGGGACTCCTCACCTTATGGCACATTTGATTTTTTTGTAGCTTGTATATGAACATATTTTCTGCAGATGTAGTCACTGTTCCACTCTGCTGTATGAGCAGGTTTCTTGACTGGCTAATGTGCCTTTCCATCTATAACTATCTAAATTTTTATTGAATGATTTTGGATTATAAGTACGTTGATTTTTCAAGATTGGCTAATGCATGTTTAGACTTAAATGTCGTATCTTTCATGTCTCAAAGCCAGAATAGTAGCATAGTAACATCTCTTCCATCAGAACAGAACTATGAGTAGGGAATGACCAATATATATATATATATATCACAAAGTCTATATCTACTTCATCTATTGGAAGTCTTTTTTGTGTTTCACAAGATTTCAGTGAGCTTGTTTTGTTATGATGTTTCCAAGCTTAAGCAAATTTAAAGCAGCAAATTGGAAAGGTGGTGGGGATACCATAAAAAGAAAATATATCTTTGAAAACTGAAAAACGAGAATCTGATGCTTGGGAAAGTTTGAAAAATTATAGTGTCAAGGATGCGTGTGTGGGAGCTCTTAAAATTTATAACAATGTGTGGCCTTTTAGGGCACAAGCCTTGGAGAAGGTTAAGAGGTTAGTCTTTGGAGCTGAACAAAAAGGGTTTGAATTTAGCAGAGTAACATAGATAGCATAGTAACAGGCTTTAGAAAATACTTATGTAGATTTGAGGATCTCATTATTTTACAGCCTTGAATTACGTTCTGTGTACTTCCTGGTGGTTTCTGGGTGGTAAGATTATGGCTGTTTCTTTTCCTTTTTAATTTCTATAAGTTTCAATGACTCACATAGTATTTTTAAAAAGTATTTTAAAAAGCCTTTGAGGGCTCCTGGGTGGCTCAGATGGTTAAGCGTCTGCCTTCGGCTCAGGTCATGATCCCAGGGTCCTGGGATCAAGTCCCGCATCGGGCTCCCTGCTCCTTGGGAACCTGCTTCTCCCTCTGCCTCTCTCTCTCTCTCTCTCTCTCTCTCTCTGTCTCTCATGAATAAATAAATAAAATCTTTAAAAAAAAAAAGCCTTTGAAGTCTGAAGGGAAGAATAAAGATCATGATATTTAAATACAATTCTAGTAATATTTTCATTCAAAATTTTAATTCTTGGGATGATATACACATACCTCTCCAGAAAACTCAGCTATTCAAAACTACTCAGTCCCTAAAGAACTCAGACTGAGAGTTGTACATATGGATTTGGTCCAGAGTCCCTTTTTTCTGTCTTTTTTACCTTCATACTAGTGAAAAAAAAAATGAGAGTGTCAAGACATTAACTAAACCAGTTTTCTTTTCTGTATAATATTACATTTAAGGAGAATTATCTGTGTTCCCACTTTCCAAAGGAAAACACATTATACCTCTTTCAGTTTTTCACTGCCCTTATGGTTGGGAAGTTCTGTCAGCTGCTGTATTAAAGTCTTCCTACTATAATATACTCACTCTTCTCTGTATTTTTTTCTTTCTTTAAATTTTATTTAAATTTTGTTAGTTAATATACAGTACAATATTGGTTTCGAGAGTACTCTTTTCTATATTTATTTTTTAAAAATATATATTTGATTAAGTCCCTCCTTAACTTACCCTTCCACAGTTTACATAATCATAGGTTATTCTCATCTCTTTTCCTTTCTTTCACAAATGGTAGAAAATATTTTGGTGAAAAGAGTATCATACTACATTGCTTCTAATACCAGTATTTACTTTTAAAACCACCATGATTGTTGCGTTCAAACTTAAACACTTCCCTTAAGAACAAAATAAGCAAGCTCAATTCCACCATTACTGTGGTTAGTTCAGTGAGCTTTACAAACTTTGAAAGTAATTTTTAATTATAAAAGCAGAATAAACCCATTATTTCTCAACCTTGCAAAAACAATATACTACAGAGGTAAAACGATACACTTTATGGCAATAAAATATATATTTTAGTGGTTTGATCACTGAATAGTAATGGCTCTTTTCCCCATGTTTATATAGCTCCACTCCTCTCTGCCCAGGAATTCAAGTGACTTAATTCTGCCTGATAGCCACGAATCCATAAGATTCTACTTACCATATGGGAAAATCTAGGAAAAGTAATTTTATGTTCTTAATGGACTCAAAGTACAATGGAGTATCAGGATTACAAATAGCTGCATCAACGTACTCTAAGGTTGTACTAAGGTTGTTGTTTTAAACTCAAGCAACTTTTTGTAGGATGAATTTTTTAATAATTGTAGTGTAAATTATGTTTGTTATCATAGGAAATATTACTAATTATATAGCCGTCAGTGTGGGAGGCCATGCTCTTTTATTGTTCTTGAGACTGAATTGACCCTTTTTAGTGGAAAGACTACAATTTTCATTTTCCTCTCTTAAGATTATCATTTTCTCTTGTAGAGCAGTCTGCCCAACAACCAGCTAAAAAGAGCAACAGAAATAGGGTGTTTGGCCTTTCTCACAAACCGTATGAGGTGTTTCACCTCTTTTATTCTTAATCTTTCTTACTCTTTATTCTCTTACAGTGAGCTCTAATTCACCCATTTATGTTTGTCATTGTGTTGATAGAAAAAACAAAGCAAATTTTAAAGCCTTTTCTAACTCTTAGAATGTTACTGACCAATTCTGTTAAATATTAAGTGTGATCCGTGTTGTGTGTTGAACAAAGGATAAAGTCCTAATCTCAGTTTAGAATGCTCTCAGGCCATTCCATCCTTGAAAGTAGTTTAATCCATAAATTTATTAGATTTAGAAAGGAATTTCCTAAAGAGGCTATTTGAAGAAGGGAAGTTCCTCTGGGCTGCTTTCCCTTTTCCTTGAAACGCCACCTTTTTCTGAAAGGCAAAACTCTAATGATTCAATACTAGAGTTCTAGAAGTGTGCAGAGGAAAGGATAGACAACTGAGGAATATTGTGGAACACTTGGACGTGGTCAGGATGGCATAAATTGGCCTTCCTTCTTTCCCATTAAAGTGGGGTTCCCTGAGGTAACCGGAGGTGTGATGGGAAAAGCAAATTGAATTCTTTTTTTTACCTGCATGCCAATGTTGTGATTGTCATAAATCCAATGAGAAGTGGATGCCTGTGGTTTTGAAGGAATGTGCTTAGTTCACAGAACGAAAAGACTTCTTAGTTAACTCAAAGACTAAAAACACACAGATTAAAATTCAAAGAATGAGGAAAAGAAAATCCAGGGAAGTCTTTGAGTTTCACTGGGGCAAGTATAGATGGGTAGGATATGATTTCCTGGCATGGAGTACAAACTGTATGCTTTTATTGCAAATAAATAAAAAGTTCTTACAAAGCTCAAGTGATT